TGATGGATACTTAGCCATCCATCATTTAACAGTACAGATTACAAATATCTGTCGCATTATAAAAATAATAATCATAAAAAAAGGCGAATAGGTAACTAACTAACAAACAAACAAACAGAAAAGAATAAAAAAAAACAAAAACATAAAAACCTACTTGGCTTATCATTATTCACTTCAATTCGTAATAAATTAACAATCAATTCTAAATGACAATTCAATTCAATAGTTGTCAGCAGTAGACTAGTGACAAAATTCAATTGATTCATATTATGTGCAAATGATTTCCATACATGAATACATAATGGGATAAATTCAGAATTCATATAAGTTTTTATTGTCTGTAATAAAGTATAAAAAAGAAGAAGTCTATGGAGAACATTTGAGTATAATCACACTATTAGACGAGTTTTGATTAGAAAACTCATCGGAAAATAGGTAAAATTTGTCTTATTTCAGTATAATACTACTTCCTTAGCAGTGTTTATTTACGGCTTTACTGAGGATTGAAATAGTGAATATTATCAATCGATGGAAGTGAAACTTGTAGACTACTATTGAATTATGACAAAATGCTCTAGACTCGAAAGTTATGGGTTCTAATACGTGGTATGATTTATAAATGTTTACTGCTTAAAAGTCCTACATTAAGGATTTGATTCTGACCGATATGGTCTCGTGTGTGCTTTCATAGGTATGAGAGCGGATGTTACCTGCCGGCTGTCCACACAATGGAAGAGCCCCATTTGTCAGATGGGGGTATCGGCCTCGTGACTTCCGAAGGAAATCGGCTTTCATCATTAGACATTATAACTCTTTTAAATGAAGACCTTATAGAGCAGCGTTTAAATGGTTCGAATTATTTTTTCTTGTGAGCGTTTCTTAGCGAGCTAGTTTTTCGCCAACCCCAATCCCTTGGGACCGGCAGTAGTTCCGGACGGTCTACAGGCTGACTGACTGAGCTCTACACAATGAATAAACAGATGCCTAAAGCAACTTGGTTTCGTTGCCGGTAGCCATTCTTGATTTGAGGATTATTATTGATTGTCGTGGATAGGCCTTTGAATGAATCTATTCGCATGAGATTGTCTAGTGAAATCAGTTAGGCAGGATTAGAACTTGTAGCCTCTCGGTTAAATGGGTCAACGAATTAAACGATTACTTCATATAGAATTTTTGAAAACAACTAAGCGTCCCTCAAAAAAATGTATTCAAAACAGAATCAATTTATGAGTACGTCACCAACTTACAAACTAATACAACAGTAAAACAAATCTGAAAGTGAAGATATTTAGTTCTATGCTATCTCCTTTAGCACCTCACTGATTGGAGAAAAGATTTGTGTGACCTATTCGGTCTCGCGTGTTGTTACAAGTATGAGGGCGGATGTCACTCATTGATTACATAATCGAGTTGTTACCCTAAACGACACATATACCCTCAACTAGTTTTGCATAATATTCTATGACCTAATGCGTTACTATTCAATGTAAAATCAAAAAATCTAATACAAAAGGTGTTTAAAATCCTATAAATAAACACGTGTTCGAGGCGACAATCCAACTTCGAGTATGGAGTACATAAGTCACATGTTGATGGTTCAAAAATCAAAAAAAATTCACATAGATGTATAGAAGAAACTACAACAATATGAAATAGAAACGATTGAAAAAATTACGTTTCATAGGAAAGTTTAGTTATAAAGTTATGTAGATTGTTGCTTATCACTGGAATCATCATGAATCAATCATTGTCGGACCATCGTTAAAAAACTGAAAGCACTGGAGGCCGTTTCGTCCTGGTATGGTAGTTACGGTAGTTACTGCCTACACCCGACAGAGATTAACTCCACTGGGTGAGGTTGCGCAAAATCCCTAGACTGATCATAGTTAGACATTAACATTGTTGGATGCAGGCTCAATGATTCAAAGGTTAGGCGTTCGCGCGCAGGACCGAAGGTCCTGGCTTCAAATCCCGTAAATGGCAGCAGTAAACTGCGCGCACGGTCGATGAAACCCATTCCAGGACGAAACGGTTAGTTATCCAGTGCTTCCAGGTTTGTAATGGTGATCTAACAATGATTCATTCATGATTTCAGTGATGAAAGTTTAGTTGTCAGGATTTTGAGCATGTGTAGCTAGTTACTTTATTCAATCTGATGAACTCCAATTTATCATCCGATAACATTCACTTCATTAACACATCTTGGACAGTTTTTATATGATAAGTAATCATGAAATCTAATTTATCTAATTTTATTCCTGTACAATTGATATTATTCCTGGTGAATAATTCTTCGAAAACATATCAATAGAACAAGGTGTTTCAAGGTGCTGATTATCGAATAAAACTACTGTTCTTTTTTACATACACATCACAGTACAATCGGGAAACAAGAGTTCGTCAAAGGGACAAGTAAAAATAATCGTAGGTTTTCGAACCATTTTGTACAATTAGTTTAACTATCATCAGAAGAGATAGAACTAGCTTCCACCTGAGTAAAACAATAAAGAAAAATGCTGAAGATGGATAGGGTAGACATCAAAGAAATCACCTAACTGAATCATGAGGCAAGCCATACTGTACAATCCTCAAGGACAGATGAAAAAAGGAACAAAGAACACATTACGCCGGGAACTGGGGGCTAACATCGAAAGAATGAATAGAACTTAGCAACAACTGGACAGGATAGAGTTGGCTGAAGAATCGTGGTCAGTAGCTAGTTGACTACAACAGATAACGGGAGTAAGTAAGTAATTATATTGATTTTTACGTCCCTGTATTAGATTATTGTGTAATATAGTAGGTCTATTTGAAACATTGCATAGTTGTGCTAAGTTGAAAAGTGACGAATGATGAAAATCGATAAACTACAACATACAGAACAAGAGACCATTGAGTCTAGACAATCTACGCTTCAAAGTAAGTCTACACAAATAACAGTCAACGAAAATCCACCACAATCACAATGAGCATATCTGTGACCAAGTAGCTATGTAGTGAACGAGAACACAGGTGGGGCAACCAAATTGCATTTAACGAAAATTACAGAGTTACTCAGTAAAATCGGAAAACCATATCGTAAATCGTTTATTTGCAAAATATCAGTCCATCCTATCGAACTGGACTGTTCCTGTTGCAAAACACCAATCCATTGTCACTATTCATGCGTTTCATATAAATTCCATTGTGTTTTAACTCTTCCTTTCTTGATCATCCCCCATCTTCTGCTGCCAGACATTACGTTGACACTCACGTCATATACTACTTATAAGTAGCTCACACCACAGCTATAGTAATATTCGAACAAAGTAACAATAATAATACTAATAATAGTAATAATAATAATTACCTGACGAAAATTCTCATAATATTGAAATGGGATAACATGTAATTCTTTGTAAATAATCGATACTTGACCATTGCTACGTTCTTGTATATCACAGATGGAATTATGCAACGAAGAGGAAATGATCGAATTCGATAATGGTAATGATGATGATGATGATGAATGACAAGTAGGAAATGGTTTATCATGATCGATAATCATGAGATTATTAGGATTTGTAGTAGTAGTAGTATTAGTAGTATTAATAGTAGTATTGTATTGAACAATATCAAAATCCAGGGCAACTGCGAAAATCAAAAAAAAATACAAATTAACTAAATTTAATTAATTTGAATAAGAGTTTTCTTGAAATGATGACTAGAAAACAAAACATAAATAGATGATGATTATTTCAAATTGATTGTGGCCTCATAATGATGATGCGAAAGTTTGGCCTGTATATATGTCATGGGTTCACAGACGCGTAAACTTCGTTGGCTAGATACCATCAGCAACAATCTATTGTGGGAAAGGACAAATAAGATTTCAGTGGAGGAAGAAATTAGGAAAGATGGCTAGAGATGGATAGGACACATTGCGGAGAGCACTAACATTTGGAACGCTCAAGGTCAAAAGAAAAGAGGAAGACCAACAAACATATTACGCAGAGCAATGGAGACGGACATGAGAAGAATGGACACTATTTGGATAGGAAGACACAAGATAGTGTAGGTCGGAGGATGCTGATCGACAACCTATGCTCCATTGATGGTAACAAGCGTAAATGAAGTAAAAGTACATATTTCCAAAGTCTTCGTTGATACTGATTAATTGTATGACATTTTTTCCTGATGGGAATGGAAAAATACTATTTCTCGTACAGAACCGTCTTCTCTTGTCATTTATTATTATGTTAGAGAAATGACAGTTTATATGGTGTGTCATCATAGACTTTAAAAAATTAGATTAGATTTTAAGTCTAATAGACGAAAGATATATAACTCTTAATAATATGAACCCATAACTTGGGCAATAAGTTTATAAGTAACTCAACTTGATTACGAACATGATAATTTGTCACATATGCAATGCGAATACATGTTCGGATGAAATCAAAGCTTTCATAGTTTAAAATGTCAATAATGTATTTATCATTCTCATTTGGTGCTATTCTATTGTATTCAGCACGAAGTGTTGATTGAAAATATGTGACATGGGAAATCAATCAAATTTGTCACTCAATCTGTAAAACATTGATGTAACTTCATCGCTTTGAGACCTGAATACCATAATCAAATAGTCTCTGTTAGACCGATAAGAAAATAAAATGTTTAAACGGTTGAAAAAAAGAGCAACTCACAACTTTTTAAATAAACGAATAATTAATAATGTGGTTTTTCTTAGAGTTACATAACTTGGAAATCTTAAGGCAAACAAGGAAAAGCGATAAACTAAAGAACATGCTGAGCCCAGGAATCGGAAACATTTCAAAAGAATACATAGTGTAGTGAAGGAGAACACAGGTGGGGCAACCGGATTGTATTTAACGAAAATTACAGAGTTACTTAGTAAAATAGGAAAACCATATCGTAAATTGTTAATTTGCAAAATATCAGTTCATCATATCGAACTGGACTGTTCCTGTTGCAAAGCATCAATCCATTGTCAATGTTGATGCGTTTCATACAAATTCCATTATGTTCTAACTCTTCCTTTCTTGATCTTCCCCCATCTTCTGCTGCCAGACTTTACGTTGACACTCACGTCATATGCTACTTATAAGTAGCTTACACCACAATAGTACTTGTAAACAGTGGGAAATAAGAGTTCAGAGCTAAGTGGACTGAAGAATACTGATTGGCGGTTTACAACTCCATGAAGGCTATAATAATATGCACATCACAAGTGATCATATAAGTTATATACTTCTATAAAAAAAACACTTCAACTTACCAGAACGTTTACGTTTATCTTCTTTCATGAACACTTCGATCTTTTTAAAACCAAATGGAAATTCGCTAGAAAAAGAATAATGCATTAAAATTGATAAAAAAAACTCATCCAATGATAATTCTATATTTGAACACTTTCCTATTTAACGAATTTCAAAGGTAGAATTTTAATGGTTGATCGGAAAGTGTAATTTTTGTCGCGTACTCAGGATGTGAAAAAACAAAAGCGAGATTTTATTACTAAGACTTCTGTTGGGGACGTTAGATCCCCAAGACTCACGTGGAAAAGGTCCTAATTTTGTAATTTATTTCTAAAATTTTCAATATCCATGTTTTCGTGCCAGAGATGCTTCGTTGACCTTCAGCTTACATTTCACACTCGGAAAATACTTGATTGTCATTGGTTGACGGATTACTTTAGTAGGCTATTTTGTGGCTCTCCCAAAGTCGTTTTTATCAATGTATAAATAAGCTTGATTTGTGTGCTAAGATGCGCCGTATTTTCTGGGTGATTGTAGAATACATTCTCTACGCCTTATCAAGACTTCTTGATCTAGTAAACAGTGCCTGGGACAAGCCTATCGTGTCACTGTATCGTTGACTTTCGTTCCGTTTACCGAGTAAAGTGAACGCGTAATACCATTCAAGCATATCAACTTCGTAGACAGTTTACAAACGAAAAACATCTTAAGCAGAAGTCCGATGATAGACAAGAATTCAGGATGTTGAATGAAATTTCATACCGCGAGATAACAGTAATCAATGGCTAAAGAACTTGAAGGAAAGGACACGAAATCGTCTGCAATGGTACAGGTGCATCGATTTTGTGCATTCTCTCAAATCCTAATCTTCTGAATTTTTTGGATAATTTCTAGGAATCCTAATATTTTCCACTACCGCCAATACTTTTACTAGCTCTACTACAATGGGATTAGAATTGACAACAGCGTCTCAGTGCAGTAAGTAATGTGATATGGCAACTTGAAGTGATGTACGTATGTACCTACGAAGTTCTACATTGTATCTGATTGATTGACTGATATTTCATAGATTCAACAAAACTGATTGCTTATTTGTTTTCGTTCAGCTGGCTGATCATCATTGGTTATTCATATAACATAAAAAGGACAAAATCTAACCGAAACGATATATATAATGAATTATTACAGTTATATCATCAATGTCACAGGATTTTTTCCCAAGAGGATTTATTACAGACGTTTTAAGAATAACTGAAGAGTTATTCAAATGAATCAAGTAGAGGATGAAATAATAAGCTTATTAGTCAATCATCGTCAATACTGAGTGTAGGGTGTACAAAATTGTGCATTGACCGACGATATATGATGAGCGAATCGAAAATTATGGTGATAGTGTTATGCAGATTGGTGTTTTCCACTGTGTTAGGATATTCACCAAATATACTAAGAATACTATTTTTAGAAGTATAATCCTATTGGTCCATTTCTATTGGTCAAAATTATGGTCGTTTTAACTGTCAAAGTCAAATACTTCAATGTTGTCTCTTATTGGTCATCCGGACTGTCAATGTCATTTAAAATGTTCTTTACTATTGGTCGTCCTAAACTGTCAATGCCACAGACTTCGATGCTCTTTCCTATTCGACCTAAATGTATAAATACGCACTATCTGTAAGTCCCCATGATTCCGATTCCGTTTCTTCCTGCCTACCTCTCTTCTGTACTCGACCCAATAAACGACTCCATCCCACGGTGTTGCATTCTGATCTATAGGAGATTTGGGAATAGTACTTGGGTTGTATTGGAATATTTGAATTCGGACGTCGGTAGGATTTGAATAGCTATACGTAGCAGCATTATAACACACTGAAATCATGAATCAATGGGAACGGGTTGCGTGACATCTTTAGATCGATCAAAGTTAGACATTAACACAGTTGGATACCAGCTCAGTGGTCTAGTAGTTAAGTGTTTGTGCACAATACTGAAGGTAATGGGTTCGATCTTCGCGAGCGGAGGTCATGGATGCACACTGCGGATCAGTCCTTCCTGGTTTCTAATGGCAATCTAACAGTTATTGATTTATGATTACAATAAAAAAGATATTTTTCTTAAGGAAATACCACAGGTTAATATTTAAATGGAAACACAAAGCTAATACATCTTCGAGAAAATGTGATTAATCATGAAGTATTTTATTGATCGTCTCCAAACACTCTGATAGTGTTCAAAGATAATAACTGAAAATTAATTTAGATCATTGTGAATTATGTGATATTGAAAAATTAAGACAAGGTCAAATTTTCAATTTCATAGCTTTGAAGGATTTTTTTTAGCCAATAGGAGAAGAAACAAATGTTATGCAAGCATGAACACGTAATGCCAGTGCGTTTCAAACAAGTGTGATATTCAGTATTACGTTATACTGGAGAATTTAACTATTTGACTAGTTGAGCGTTAAGAGAACACTCACAGTTGAATAAATCACAAAACATTTCAGGTTACTTGGAGGAATTGGCCAAAACACAACTCAATCACAGACGGAATCGATAAATATATATGTTTAAAAAAATACAAACTTCAATAATATTTAGCGTTAATAAGTTAAAAACGAGTATAAAACCAGAGAACAAAGCTTAAAAGTTGCGATATGTATATGCAAAGAAAACAAGTTAATTATTAAGTAGGTAGTGTAAATCCAGCGTCTAGTATAGTGAACATGCTCCATCGTAATGAAAGTGTATATCGAGAACAAACAATTGGTTTACCAACAAAATAAATACAGCTTATCATTAGACTTCCAATGGTAACAGTCTTTTACAGGGATTTTAGTCTTAAAAACTCACACCATATGATCTGACAGGCTTCTTTCTCTAGTAGTAACTTGTAGGCGACACTTCACTACACACTACTTATAAGTCACGTTGTGAGTAGTATCTCGAATAAAAAGAGAGACGAGCGAAATATCAATATCTTATAACATTATTTGAAGCAAAAAGAAAAAAAACTACCATTACTATCACTACTATTACTAAATCAGTTCAACCTATTTGTTTAACTGAATTTTTGTTAATAGTGGCGACAATGTATGATATATAGGATGTGATCAACTTCGTAGAGAAAACTTCCGTTAACTTGATTTATCAAAAGGTCAATTACAAAATGTAACTGAGAAATTCTATTTCATATCTTCGTATGAATGGCAAGCAAACAGTAATCACAAATGAAGTCAACAATACGTCAGGTTGAGAGTACAAGCCTTCGAATGAAGTTATATTTGTAGTTTAAAGAAAAAACACAATGAATTAGGCAAGTAGACAAACAAACACAAACACATACTGTGGTGGTGTTTCGTTCTCTGAGCTGGTTGTTTTGGTTGTAGAGCTTTCATTGTTCTTCTGAACAACATCATCAGCACAAACTTCAGATGGAAGTGAAGCATTCGAATTTCTCCACGTTTGACCTGCAGCTTGTTCTGCCAACCTCGATCTTGATCTATATCTGACACCACCATCACAAACACACACACATACGAACAAATGTACATAGTTGAAAGGTCATACAGTCGATTGTGTATAATGTATACATACAATGTTGGCACGAATAACAAAGAATTCCAATGACGTATGCAATGGTCAAATAAGTATTCTTCTATATGGTATCAAATATGAAAGGCTTGTTGTATCAGTGTCTGTCATGTGAGAATATCCATGCTATGATTAGAAAATTTGCCTGTGAATGAATTGAGTTTGTTAGACAATTATTATTACTACTACTACGGTTCATCTTAAAATGTAGTGAAAAAGACAATTGACAAAACTTACTCTAATACAATTGATACAACCGATGAGCCAGAATAAGCACGTCCTATTTCAAATCCATCTAAATTTACAGAATAAATTGATTCATCTCGACGTGACTTCGACGATGATGATGATGATGAAGTTGGCATTAATTTCGCGTTACTGAACTAAAATAATAATAATAATAATAATAATAATAATAATAATAATAATAATAATAGTAATAAAACAAAAGTGTAAGTCAATAAGCAAGCATACAATAAAGAAGTAATCACTGAAAGAAAATCACAGCTAACAAATACAAACAATGGAAAACAAGATTTAATCTGAATGAAAGTAGATTATCAGTTAGTCAGCTACAACATGAAACTTGGTACAGACGTACATGAGTTCAGGTTGACTTAAAACATCAGGCATACAGAGATGCAATTGTCAATTCAAATCCCATAGTAGTAGAGATAGTAGAAGTATTAGCGGTTATGGAGAAGATTAGGGTATAATTTAGTGAAATAAACTTAAAAAATGAAAGATAGAAGTGATGATGAGGAGTTTAGAAAATTACAATTTCAGAGACCATAAAGAATGGATGCACCCACAGCAATACAAACGATTTTGAGTCACGTTATTAAAAGTCTCTAACCATTGGTTAGGGTTGTCTCACGGACCCCAACCAGGTAGTCAACACTTACTAACATGAATCAATCCACTTGTCAGTGACTTCATGGATTCGTGCGATGTTTTGGTTTAGCCGACCTTAATTTTCTTCTAACCTACTATTACACCACAAAACATCGTTCGTCGGAATATAGGTTGATACGTACGTAGCTCTTGCAGTATTTTATTGTACCACTACTACTACTGACTAAATGGGATGATTTTTTAACCAAACGCACATAGCCTTTCATTTTGCCACCTAGATTACCTTCTAGTATAAATAATTTTTGAGCAATTTACTCTGCATATACATTACTCTAACCAAAATATCTGCGCAACTAGACAAATATCTACTTTTGTTACTCTATATATACACACTAAGTTGAACCGATTCGTAAATACCAAATTTACTGCCTTTATAAGAGGTGAATTTTTATGGCATCCTCTCCCATTCGCTTTCATCGAGTGCATAACAGAACTGTTTACAAAACAGAATAGCTTAAATCGTTCTTTAATTAACAAATACCATAGGTCAACCATAAACCCACCCCCAATCGAGACGATCGTTCTTCTCACAACAATAAAATACACATTTAAATAGAAAAAGATCACAAGACTAGTACTGTGTTTTTCGTCTATTTTTATTGCTTCTTATCGTTGCATCAGTGTTGTATCTTTTGAGTTGTTGCTTTTATAAGTAACATGTAATGAACTACAGTTTCACAATAAAGAGATAATAATGTAAACACCAGTCTGATGATTACTTACTTCGCAATTGCATTCCTTGTTTTTTGATTGTTGCTCTAGCAAAATTTGTGGTTTGATTTATGAAAATCCTAAAAATTCCACAAAACCTTATATTGGCAATAATTATGCGCTTACTAGTGACTAAGTTCAAGATACAGTTCCTGGATCTCTGATGGAAATCTGTAGTCAGTAGAATTCAATTCAAAAGCATTGAAATTGAAGTAAAACACTGATTTTGACATGACTTATGATTATTTATTCACTCGAGTTAAGGAAAAATGTCACGATGACATGTTAGCGATTGAGCTAGTGTTGTGAGATAAGGTTATAGTGGTTGCGAGTCGAGGTTGACTACGGTCCCCACTACAAAGCAACTACGTTCCAGCTACTAGGTATAATCAATCCGTGAAACCAAGACAAAGAAGAAGATCGGATCCAGAAATGCACGCATATTTGTTGGCGATCTCGTGGTATCGAAAGAATACCGAGATCGTGCCAAGGGATATAGGTGAAACTACCGCGAGTAGGGTGAGCAAGATGGAAGCGATATGAATGGAAAGTGTGTGTACAGAGTATGAATAAACACAGAGTACAGTAAAACAATCACCAGTACCATTGGTTCTAATAATAAATGGTTCTATTAAACCAGTTGCGTTCTCTTCATAAAAGCGGATTCACCACAAGGTTATAAACCCAAATAGAGTTTTTATCGCCAACTGACAATAGCTCATTTGTTTCTAAACTTAAGAAACTTAAAGCGGAGATTTAAAGTCAGAAGATAGAGTGGGAGAATTGCATTAAGCTCCATCAAGATCTCTGACTAAGCATTGAATAAAATCACGTATTCGAAATCACAATTTGAATATCATTAGCTTTCGTTTAATCAATAATAACCTACAAACTATGTAGTAAAACATTTTTAATTACGCGCGAAATTCCATGAAGCACTACTACTAGTTTAACTCTGATTGATTTATTCTAAGGCCGTTAGTATAGTATACTTTTTTTTCGAAATAATCTAACTTTGATCGATTGATTTTCTGTTTTCATTGCTTTGATTAATTTTATACAACTGATAACTATTACTAGGAGTCACAACTCACAACAACAATGCAATATGAACTATTCAAAGATGAACAAAATTAAATTTACAGAGCATCGATACTTGAACACGTTTTTCAGCTATGATGTTTGTTCGAATGGGTGACCGATTAGTTCATGTAACTATTCGGTTATCCAAAATCGTAGGTGGCTAAGTGAAGTTCAACATATAAGGTAAATGTTTGTTTGATCAACTGTGGACGTGTTTATGCATTAAACATGCGCATTGCAATTAAACTAAAAATATTTATTTATCATGATGAACAGTTATTTATTTATAAGAGTAAAGAAAGAAAATTACCTTAATCTCAAGATTACGATAACATCTTAATTGAGTTTGTCTAAGTGATACATTATCTTCAGTGGCTGAATCTGCTTTTGTATTACGACAATGTCGTTTTAAACTTGTCACCCATCTTTGATAGATAATCTCCCAACTGGCTGGTGGTAAATCACAATGAACATGACAATGATTTGTATTCTCTGATGAATTGTTAACATTCTGATTAGTTGATGAAGTTGATAATGATGATGACAAGGATTTATTAGTATCTGTAGAAGTTGAATTTGATCGTGTAGTCCAATCACATGTACAACGGCAACCTAAATATGACAAAAATCAAATGATAACAGTTAGGATATTCATCAAATCTCCTAAGAGAATTATTTTTGTAAGTCTAATTCTATTGGTCAATTCCGACTGGTCAATATTATGGTCGTCCTAAGTGTCAATATCACATACTTCAATGTTATTTCGCATTGGTCGTCCTAACTATCAATGTCACAGACTTCAATGTTGTTTCCTATTCCACCTAACTATATAGATACGCATTATCTGTAAAGCTTATTGGGCCTTTATCCCTTCTGTATTTGACCCCATAAACAACTTCGTCTAACGGTGTTGTATTCTGATATATTGGAGATTTGGGGACAGTATTTAGAGTTTTACTGAAGTATCTGAATTTGGCCAATCTGTAGGATTTCGAATAGCTACATAGCAGCATTACAACAATAACTCGATGGAAATAAAAAATTTATACATTTAACCGTTTGCTAACCAAAGGATGAGTATACTGCGCAGCGGTTCGCTCGCTCCAACTACATGGATGTAAGAATAGAGGATATTCGTAGGTAATGAGCGTTCGATTATAGATGTCTTTGAAGTTCTGCTCGTGTACCCTGAGACAACCGAGTAAGCAATGCTGTCGTTAGGATACGAGTACTATGTAGGGATAGCAAATCAATAGACGGAGTAGTGGTTGGGACATGTGTTACGTATGCCCAACCAGTGACTGCCCCGATGAACTATGTTTTGTGGTGTAGATGGATTAAAGCACGACTGCGTTGGCTGCGCGCTGATTGGCTAATTCCTATCCAATAAGCGCTAGTCGATACTTGGAGTACATTCCAGAAGCTTCTCATGTAAAAACTATTAAGATACTAATGTTGTTCCTATTTTGTCTTAGCTTCGGCATCTTATTTGCATTAAACCTTACAATTCGGAATATAATCTTTTCCTTGTTCAACAGTTTTCCGATTCGGGGACTTGTCGAGTGTATTGTTGTTAGAGAATACTAAGCAATAGGAATAGCTGGTTTTACTAAGAGAGAACCATAACACTAACCTTCTGAATTCCTCACCATTTCTGTCTTCCACTTTCTAAAGTTATCCCACTGAATTGTACTTCTTGAGTAATATCTTCGAACCATAATCTTCTTCATTACTATTAATACTTCTACTATCTCTATCACTAAGGGATTTGAACTGATAATTGCGTCTCTGTCCTAATACGTTATGGCCGCCTGAACTTATGTATGTACGTACGAAGTTCTACGTTGTAACTGAATGGCTGAGATTGTATTGCCGACAATATTAAAATCGACAGTACTATGTAATTATTTTGAGAATAAGAATTTCTAATTACATTCAATATTCCAAAAAGCACAGTGCATGTTACCATCAGATCACAGTTACGATAGTGAAAAAAATTCCGACAAACACTAGAGAAATGAAAGTAACTGAATAAAGCTCAAATTGTTGAAACATATAACGTTTGATTTTATTGATAAAATGTAATGAATTCTATCTACCGGGTTTTAGTAAGTTTGAGTCCAATTACAATTTAAGGACTACTGAAGAAAGACATTAAAGTAACGTCTTTCAATGGAGGGATAAGTGCCAAAACATTTATAATATATAAAAGACTTATATCCAGTGTATAATTAACAATAAATATAACGAGTTCTCGGGAGAAGTCATGATTAGTGAAGTTCAATCCTATTCGAATGTAAAGCAGTGAGCGTACCGAAGACGGTGGATGAGGTTGTGCAAGACCGTGGATTGATCGGAGTTGGAAGCCGTCTCAGTGGTCTAGAGATTAATAGCTCGCACGCGAGACCAAGGTTCGATTCCCGCGAGTAGCGGGAGTCATGGATGCGCACTGCTTATGAGACCCATACTAGAATGAAACGGCCGTTCAATGCTTCCAGGTTTCGAATGGTGGTCTAACATCGATTGATTCATGATTTCAAAATAACGATGTTTTATTGAGCTATTGAAATTATATATTTAAGTATACTTATATAATCAATTTATAAGTAGTGATCATTAAAATCAATATCGCATAGAATTGCAAATACTGGGATTTCTTTGAGAAAAAAAATAGCGACAGGCATTTTTTCGGAGGTTACTTGATTTACAAACAGTACTCGTCACAGATTGACCTAAACTAGAGTACTACTAAAACTAGTGAGCAATATATAGCCAATTTATTTTAGTATACAACTTTTCAGTAGAGTGCATATTCATGACCACACACGGGAACGAATTGAAAATATTCAGCTTTTACAGCCATTGATTAGTCATTTGACTATTTGGGTTTATGATCCAATCTCCAAAGGATTTCTCATATTAGCAGTCAGATAATTGTCACCAATGATATTATATGTAGATCACCTGAGGTCATTTCAGGTGTTGAAGAGTTAAGAGCTTGATACAAGAATTAAAGCTCTTGAGTTCGATCTCTGGAGAGTTTATAGATATGTATCAGTTTTCCTATAAGGAAAAGAGTCCTATTTAATACTATCTGGTTTTCAGTGGTGCTCTAACTGAGGCCAATAAATGCATAAAACTCACATGATTGTGATAAATTTTGAAATATATACGGTGGTTCTTCAGGACGACCAGCATATGAATTCACATCTAAATCATAAGTACTGAAAAAATTAATACGATTAGATACTGATGAATTGATAACATTTAAATGGGATTTATTCGATGAACATGGCGCTTCAACGTGTAAAACAAATTCTTCTCGATCTCCAGCTGATGCACCGTATAAAACTAGACCAAAACAAAAATATTTTCTGGAAAATAAACGAAAAATTCGAGAAAAAAGAAAAGAAATGAATAGTAGTTTGAATAAATTCTATAGGCTGATTTTAAATAAACAACTATAAACCCAATCGTAGTAGCTACCTTGAAATGGTGGTCGGGTTTGCGTGCAGTGATGACCTAGTCGAGCCATATTGTCTGGAACAGATGTTCCTTAAGGTTCTATTATACCAGGCAGGTCGGTTAGAGAACGATGAGACTAAAAGCAACAACTCAAGGTCTGAAGGAGAAGTTGTACTGCTGACTGTAGTGGAGTGTGGCAACAGTAAGGCGTTTCCCTCGGACGACGAGCATCTGCAGCGATGCTGCTTTCTCACAAGGAAGGGGTTAGAAAACGTCGACACTAAAAATGTCACACCTAACCTTACCTCACGAATTTCCATCTCCGGTGGTAAGTGCTTTTAAACAAGATCGAAGCTAATACTCTAAAAACCTATCATGAAAAGGCCGTGCGTGTCCGGTCTCAGGCAGTTGCCCCTTGGGCTCTGCAGTCACGCTCCCAGGTCGTTAAGATCAACACTAATCCAACTTCCTTTTCAGGTTCCCTCTAGAAACACCTTTTCACGGTGTGCGCAGCCGGGAAGTGACATCGGCCCTTATACCCATAACAGCGCACAAGACCAAATCGATGTCAACCAAATCCCTCCTACACTGAATTATACTTCTCGAATAACATCTCTAAACCCTAATCTTTTCCATTACCGATAATACTTCTCTACCGATATGGGATTTGAAATAAAAATTGCGTCTCTGTGTTAATGTGGTATGGCAACCTGAACTTATGCACGTACATACGAAATTCTAAGTTGTAACTGACTGACTGGAGGAACGGTATTAGGGTCGAGGAAAGATAAGGATAATAATTGAAACACTATAAAACTTTTAGAGCTAATCCAGTTTTTGAATCATAAAGTTAGAGAATAATAATGGATGAGGTCACGCAAAATCTCTAGATTGATCAGAGTTAGACATTAACACCGCTGGATGCCAGCACAGTCATCCAGAGGTTAGGCGTTCGCGCGCAAGACCGAAGGTCCTGGGTCCGAATCCTGTGAGGTGCAGGAGTCGTGGATACGCACTGCTGATAAGTACCATACCAGGACGAGACAGCCGTCCAGTGACTCCATGTTTCTAATAGTGGTCAAATAATGATCGATTGATGATCTCAATGTTATTTTCAATTGTATCATACATCAATGAGGTTGTTGAAGAAGATGATCTATTCACCACATGAAGCTTAATGGAGAGTGTTGATTTTTGTCGTTTATTATTACAGATTGATTTTAGTTGATATGAGCTAGAAATATGAATATCAGTGTGTGCGAGCCAATTCAATGGTAATCATAAGGTAAAGCGTTTTTATCTGAAGACTAGATTCGATTCTCGATGGCGCGGTTGTGAATTCGCACAGCGGAAAAGAGTCTCGCTACCTACTACTTACAAAGATTTTCAATAATGATGATCTAACTAAGATTAGTTGATCAAATAGAAACCAATATAACACAGAAACAATTCAATTTCGCACTTACTCATATGCTGTATGATGAATAGGAAAGAAATCACATTTAGACAGATCGAATCGTTCCGATTTACGTTTTTCACCATCAACTAATGTTAGTATACTTTGTTTTCTATCTAAATGAGCATAACATGGTTTCCATTTTTTTCTTTGTTGTAACCCTTGTTCAATTGGAAAAGGTGATTAAGACAAAAATATAGTAAGCATAGCATAGATTTATATTTAAATATTATTATTCATAATAAATAAGAGAAAATAATGAAGAAAATGAATGTTGACTAGCACACCTACAAGAAATAACGAATGCTTATTAAAAGCTGTTCAATATAATCCCAAACTCATGATTATGCTTTAGCCAGTCAGCTGCAACGTAGAACTATGCACGTAAGTACAGAAGTTCAAGTTGCCATACAATATTAGCACAGAGATATAACTGTCAATTCAAATCCCATAGTAGTAGAGGTAGTAAAAGTATTAGAAGTAATCAGAGAGATTAGGATTCATAGATGTTATTCAAGAATATAATTTAGTGACGTAAATTTAAAAAGTCAAAGATAGAGGTGATGAAGGATTCAGAAGGTTAGAATTTCAGAGAACACACAGAGTAAATGCACCTGCGTCATTGCAAACGGTTTTGAGCCATGTCATTCAGGGTCTCTAAACATCGATTATTATCATCTCGTGGACCCCAACCAGGTAGTCGACACCTACCGACATGACTCAGTCATTGACTTCATGGATTCGTGCCACGTTTTGGTCTGGACGCCCATAGCTTTCTCCCAACCTATTCCTACACTACAAAACAAAGCTCGTCGAGGCAGTCGGTGGTTAGGCATACGTAACACATGTCCCAACCACCTCAACTGATGAAGTTTCATTACTTCATCTATAGATATGCCAATCTTACCTAGCACTCGTTTCCTAATAGCAGCGTTGCTCACTCAGTTGTCCCAGGATATACGAGCAATAGTTCTAAGAAATCTGTGACCGAACACTAGTACCGTACGAACATTCTCTAATATTACGGGCCATGTTTCACAACCGTATAGTCGGATGGAGCGAACTGCTGTGCAGCAGACTCGTCTTGTGGTTAGAAGACAGATATGTCGCCTACGCTATAAGTGACACAAGTTTGCAAAAGCCAGTCGGGCCTTCTGTATTTATGCAGTGATTTAGTCAGACACCAGACCATTAGCACTGAAGAGACTCGAAAGACAAGTGAAGCGTTCAACATATTCAATCACCTCACTAACTATCACTAATTCAGGTGCCGATGCAACCCAACCCTGAAGCCACGTTTTAATTTAGAGGAGGATAATCGCATCCGAAACATACTTGCAATGTTGCTCAGGGCAATCAGAAGACTGTATCTTGTAAGCTTCTTCATTAAATAGAACTATGTGATCGGCATATTCCAGTTCAACAAGTGAATCTCCCGATGAAAGTTCAACATCTGGAAAGTCAGATAATGATGAAAGTACCCTACCTAAAAGCACGTCAGCGAAAAAGTTGAAAGTGAACAACCGTGACGAACACCACTTGAGGTAATCGATCCCGATGACATCTCTCCATAAGCTCTCCTTCGACCAGTGCTGTTCGAGTAGAGAGCGTGTTTAAGGTTAATGTACTTCTTCGATACACCTTTCAATGATAGACACTGTCGATTCAAAGTCCACAGCAGTAGAGGTTGTAGAAGTATGAACCGTAATCAGAAAGATTAGGGTTTGAAGATATTATTCAGGGCGTATAACCTCTTCAAACGATTTTGAGCAAAGTAATTTAAGCTCTCTAACCATCGGTTACTACCATCTCGCGAACTCCAACCAGGAGACAGTCTACACTTACCAATATGACTCAACCCAGTTGTCAGTGACTTTACTGATTTGTGCTATGTTTTTGTCTAGTCGCTCGCTCCTAGCTGTCTTCCAGGCTACTCCTAAACCAGTGATTACGCCTAAAATATTGCATCATTTCATGCAACAATCAATAACAAGGTTAATGTGTTAATGAGTGGTATGTTTTCGCTATAAAACTATGTAATAATTGAAAATTTCGAAGTAACAAAAAGTGTTAAACTATGGAAAGCTGTGGTGCCTTAGAAAAAAAAAATTAAACTAGACATTTCATGTGATCACAAAAAAACAAAACAATGATTGTAATGATTATCAACGCTGGATAGTCAATATAAGCTAGAATCCAGTACTACAACAATTCAATATGTAATTTGTCAGCTGAATATATCTGCTTTGTTAGTATTGATGTTTAGTACTGAGAGACTAGATAGAAGTTGGAACGTTTCAATTTAAATAATACTAATGCCTAAACCTAGTGAGTTTTCCAGTTCAAATGATAGATCAGCCAGCTCAACGAGTATCATCATCATAAACAGCAACGTAGAACTTTGCACAGAAGTACAGAAGTTCAAGTTGCCATATAATATTAGCACAGAGATATAACTGTCAATTCAAATCCCATAGTAGTAGAGGTAGTAAAAGTATTAGAAGTAATCGGAGAGATTAGGGTTCGAAGATGCTATTCAAAAAGTATAATTCAGTGAGGTAAATTTAGAAAGACAAAGATAGAGGTGACGAGCGATTCAGAAGGTTAGAATTTCAGAGAACACAATGAATGAATGAACCTGCACCATTGCAAACGAATCCGAGCCATATTATTCAAAATCTGTAACCGGTTACTATCATCTCGCGAGCCTCAATCGGGTAGTCTACATCTACCGACATGACTCAGTCAACTTGTCAGTGACTTCATGGATTTGTGCCACGTTTTGGTCTGGACGCCCATAGCTTTCTTCCAACCTATTCCTATGTCGCAAAACATAGCTTGACGAGGAAGTCGGTGGTTAGGCATACGTAACACATATCCCAACCACCTCAACTTATGAAGTTTCATTACTTCATCTACTGATCGGCCATTCTTACCTAGCACTCGTTTCCTAATAGCAGCGTTGCTCACTCCGTTGTCCCAGGGCATACAAGCAATGATTCGGAGACACCTATGATCGAAGACAAGAAATCTACGAATGTCCTCTACTCTCACCGGCCATGTTTCGCATCCGTATAGTAGGATGGAGCGAACTGCAGCGCAGCACACTCGTCCTTTGGTTAGCGGACGGATACCTCGCCGTCAAAAAATCGCCTACTAGGGAAAATCAACTATGCCCTGTGAGTTTAAACATCTTCATATAGAAGAGTCATGACAACTAATAAAGAAAGACGAAATACTTCGGAAGTTACAAGGTTGATGATCCTCTCGACACCTGGGGCAACATAATATAAATACATGGAACAATAACAGGATACCGACAGAACTATTCAAATAGCCACAGAAACCAGAAAATACAATCTAGTGATGAAACCTATTGCATGCATACAAGCTGAACAAAAGAGATGCCGTTGTATTTTAATCATGAAGAAGAAAACAGTCTATGCAAATGCTTGCAATGTATTTGAATAATCCCAAGAAAATTTAGAAGCATTATTACTTGAAAAAGTTGCTTACAGAAAATATCAACTTACATATAGACAATTCTCCATGAATTTCAGTCACCGACTGATGATGAGATGTTGGCGGTTGACGGGCATAACACATATCCATGTAAATAGTAGACGAAGGAGAAGTGTGAACCTGAGGCTTTAAAATTATTTAAAAAAACAACAACAAAGAAATGCAACAATTTAATGCAAACATACACATTCAAAAATCATAATAACACAGTTATAAGTTTCTTCTACTACTATTACTACTACTACTACTATTACTACCCTACCGCTACTACCCATGGTTCATTGATTGACAACACAACAGAATTAAATAATAGGTTTCCGTTGGAACAATTGACCTGATTAGATGTTTTACATCTTGGTATGAATGATTATCATGAAATTTCTATGAATCCGATTAAAAAAAAATGGAGTGTGTTTCTTTTCAATATATAAAAATTGAATACAGTTTTTAAGAACAATGAAAGTTAGAACAGTTTATTGATTAAAATGTGATTAGGTCAACCGATACATTTAGAGGATAATCTATCCAACAACAAAGCTACATACGCTTTGTTTTACTAAGCAAAAGGAGCTTTTCATTTTCAAAACCATTTGTTTTCATTACATTCGTATTATGTACCAAATCGCTGTGAAATCTAACAGTTTACTTTACAGACTAACCATAGTTAAACAATCTTTGAAAACCAAAACTTGATGCATAGTTGATTCGTTCTAGTATGAAACTCTTCAGCAATCTGTCAGCCCATCAGTTCAATTTACCATACCAAATTAACCACAGAGCGAAGGCAACTCTTCGAAAGTGGGCGTCAATGACGATAATATCTCACCAATACTAATGAAACTAGACACATCTTCAGCTTCACAATGAACAACTATGGATATGCGAAAAATATGATTTAATCAGTGTCATTCATTGAAAACTGATTATCGTTCTTTCAAATTAGTCAATACAAACACTGTTCACTCTATCGAATTCATTCAATGACTGATCTTTCAAAATTGGCGCCCTCACATCTGAATCGGATCCACCTTAACTGTCAGACTAAGCAACCTTGCCCAACACCGGTCTTCACCTTGAACGAGTCTGTCAGCTGTCCTCCGTGCACGATTTTGCAGTTGAATCCATCATAAGAATTCCGTATGATGTCAACTATCTTCTCAGGCACACCGTAGTGTCGAAGAAGCCTCCATAGTGTTGTCCTGTCCACGCTATCGAATGCGTTCTCGGAGTCCATGAAGTTGATGTAGAGTGGTGAGTTCCATTCGATTGATTGTTCCACATTGATCCGTAATGTTGCAGTTTGGTCGGTACACGATCGATCGCTACGAAATCCAGCGTGTTGATCATGAAGTTGGGCGTCTATGAAGTCCTTCATTCTGTTCAACAATACTTTGTTGAAGACTTTGCCTGGTATTGAGAGAAGAGTGATGCCTCTGTAGTTTTCACACTTATTGAGATCGCCTTTCTTTGATACGATGACGATAATATCTCACCACCGAATGACTGACTGAATGAAATTAGACATTTACAGCTTCATAATAAACAGCTAGTAGACATACTAAAACTATGGTTTAATCAGTGTCATTCATTGAAAATTGATCATCGTTTTTTTCAAAATTATTCGGTACAAACACTGTTCACTCTATCGAATCGTTGAAAATTATGTAACGACATAACTATATATTTATTTAAAATTAACCAGAATATCATTTTGAAGAGAATAGACACAATGAATTTTAAGAGAGTTTTGTTTTTGAAGAAAAAAACGTTACAATTGACAAGCTGTGATTTGTGTTAAAGATCTTTATATTATATTTATGAAAATATGTGTAAACTTATTTGAAATCATCAACAACAACAAAAAAAAATTGGTTCACTGAATACAGAAAATTATGATGACATGATACGTACACTTCACTTTCTCTTACTAAACAATATATATATATATATATACTTTTCTATACTAAAAAATGTGTATACATCGATAAATAACCACCAGTGTTTTTGTTTTACTGATCGATCTGATAATCTGACAAGTATAAAGCACACGTATGAATGAATTATTTAGCTAGTCTACACTATTTGAATGTAATCTGCTCAATAATATCGAACAGATTTCTAAAAAATAAATAAAATACCTACCTACCTACCTACCTAACATTACAATGTCGTGTATGCGATTTGGAGTCATTTAGACTAGTGACTACAAAATTACCGCTTGTGATCGATATGACTTGCTGAATACGAAAGCCTAGACAAATATAACATTAGTCATCATCCAACTGTATATATCTAAGTCTTACAGGAGGTCATTCATGGCACAAACAGTACAAAGGGTAATGTTTGGAACAGTATGTCACCGATTTGAATTCTACGGGGAGCACTGGTCCACTCAAAATTGCTACAACGCCTTCTTGACGAGTAGCGAATAGCATAAAACATAGGTCTACAGTGATCACCTGATTGTTTTTAACCACCTAACATAAAAAAGTATGGAAGTATGTTGAGGAATTCTTATGAGTACATACGTTCAGGTTGCCTTGCCACATCTGCACAAAGATGCAACTGTCAGTTCAAATCTCACAGCGGTGGAGATAGTAGAAGTATTACCGATAATTAAGAAGATTAGAGTTCGAAAATATGATTTGAGAAGCATATTGCAATGAGATAACTTTAGAGAGAAAGATAGAGATTATGAGGAATTCAGAAGGAAAGAATTTCAGAGAACAAAATGAATGAACGCACTTGCTCCATTACAAACCATTTTGAGTCATGTCATTCAAGGTCTCTAAACATCGATTATCATCATCTCGTGGACCCCGACCAGGCAGTCGACAACTACCGACATGACTCAGTCAACTTGTCATTGACTCCATAGATTTGTGCCATGTTTTGGTCTGGACGCCCATAGCTTTCTCCCAACCTATTCCTACACCACAAAACAAAGCTCGTCGGGGCAGTCGGTGGTTAGCCATACGTAACACATGTCCCAACCACCTCAACTTATGAAGTTTCATTACTTCATCTATTGATCTGCCATTCTTACCTAGCACCCGTTACCTAATAACAGCGTTGCTCACTTAGTTCTCCCAAGATATACCACCAATGCTTCGAAGACACCACCTGTGATCGAAAAGCAGTAACCTACGAATATCTTCCATTCTGAATGGTCATGTTTCACAGCCATCAAGTAGGACAGAGCGAACTGCTACGTAGTAGAAGTATACAGTATGATTTTAAATAATAATAATAATAATCAAAAACACCACCTACTTTACGCTTTCTACACAAAGGTTTAAATACATGTTGAATTGTTGTTGGCGGTATTGTTGTATGATGATGATGATGATTATTATTATTGGAAGAATTATTATCTATTGAAGAATAGTTTTCATGAACATTGATTTCATCATTCATTGGATAGTTATTATTATTATTATTATTATTGCATCCATCATCAGAGATATTTAAATGATTCAATTCGTCTATTGGATAATTATCAAAATGATGTAATTCAATCGCTGTAATAACTGATTCAAAATTAGGAAATATTGTACCACTATAAAGGATTTTAGTAGTTGTACGATATAATGGTGGCTGAAAATTAATTAATTCATTGATTAAAGTAGGATGATGATGTTGATGCTGATGATGATTGTCTTTGACATTGTTATTGATTAAACAGAATTGATCTGATTTCGGTTGGAATTCATTTGATTTATGATCGTCATTAATATTATTATTATTATTATTATTATTATTATTATTATTATTATTATTATTACAGTAAGATGGGCATGAGTCAGCATTGAAATTATTGCTGATACGTTCACTCGACGATAATTCATTCGTTCTCTGATCATGATTATTATTATTATTATTATCAAGATCTTGATTAGTTTTATTGGTTGGTGTCACATTCTCATGAAGTATAAGCTCTGATTGCACAACTAGCTCAAGTCGACATTTACGAACACGTACTCCATCGTATAAAAGTAATGTGTATAGTCCAGGACGTGAATCACAAGGACGTAATAAATAACTAAATGGACCAGCTATGAAAAGAACAGAAATCAATGAAAAATAGTATTATATAACTAACTATAAACGAAAAGAGATGTCTACATTAAAAGATTTAATATAAAAAAAACTCTAGTAATATCACTACTACTCACGGATACTAGGTAAGGATGGCAGACAAATTGATGAGGTACTGCATCTTCATCAGTTAAAGTTGTTGGGACATGTGTTACGTATGCCGCCTGACCTCTGAATGCCTAGACGAGTGATGTTATCTGACGCAGGGGTAGACTGAAAAGAATCCAGGAGCGGACATAACAAAACATGGCATAAATCTATGAAATCACTGATAAATAGACTGAGCCATGTTCTTAGGTGTAGACAAACTGTTTGGGGCCCGCAAGATGATAGCAACCGACGGTTAAAGACCTTGAACGACATGGCCCAGATTCGTTTGCAATGGCATATAAATATCGATTGTTTGAATTCTCTCAACTTCTAATCTTCTGAATTCCTAATCACCTAGATATTTCTCATTTCAAATCTATCTCACTGGATTATACTCATTGAATAATATCTTTGAACCATCATGTTCTCCGTTGCCTCTAATACTTCTACTACCTACACTACTATAGGACTTGAGTCAACCATTCGATCTTTCTGTGCTAATGTGTTAAGTCAACCTGAACTGATGTACTTACGTACGAAGTTGTACGTTGTAACTGACAAAGTAATATCATCTAATTATCTAAACAGAATTAAATGGAACAAATTTTGAAACATAATGAATTTCTTCTGTTTTTTTCCACTGATGAATATACCTACATGATGAATTAACACTGTAGCACAATGCTTAGTTCATACCTCTATGCAAATTATTCATGTTTGAACAGGTTCAATAACTACTACGTAGTATTTTATCAATCCTATTAGACAAATGTATTCATTGTTGGATGAGTAAATACATTTTATATATCTTTGTGACAACATGTACGTTTACAGTGCTAATATTGTGCTAAATCTATGACCCTAGATAAATCGAGATACAATATATTATGCAGCGATTTGAGGACATGTTAACTTCCTAGCTTATCTATTCATGTTCATAGTGTTATTTGTACAAATGTATGAATGGAATAAACATAACTGAACAACTTTCTCATACTCGAAGAGATCAGTCGAAAGAATATAGAATTAGTTATAAATACGGATTTTATATTTCGCATGCAAATAACCATTTGTCATGACACCATTAATTTCTCAGAAATCGTGGTTATAGTACACATAACCTACGATCTGAAGACACTGAATAATGCCCTCTGTAGTAAAAAGTCATGTTTCATACTTATACAGTAGTAAAGAGCAGATTGATGTGTAATGGTGTACTTGCCTCACCCAACTGTCTGTATTCATTACAAGGTTTTATCAATCACTAACAGGGCAGTAGCCCCCCAAGAAAACCACCTGTTTTAGTTTGGACAGCCGGACAGTATCCTAGTCCCTCACTCATAAATTTACTAATGTGTGAAGTGCATAAATTTTTAGATGCCCCTTTATATATCAATAGGCGTTCATGCGCAAGACCGAAGGTCTTGGGTTCGATGCCTGCGAGGTGCAGGAGTCGTGGATGCGCACTGCTGATGAGTCCCATACCAACATGAAATAGCTGTCCTGCCAGTGCTTCCAGGTTTCTAATGTGCAAAAAACACTAATCTCCATAACTCTAATTGAACAATATTTATATGTTTAAATAAACTGAAATTAATGCAAACGAACAGAAGATACTTTCAAGATAAGTGAGTTTTTGTCAAAAAAAATAAACAATTTATTTACTTCACTACTTACAGTTAGGCTAGGCAATTGATGTAGAACACAGTCTTGGAGAAATAAAATAAAGACAAACAGACGAAATTTAAAGGTAACGGCTTACACTCACATATGAGATAGGTGTATCGGGCATGACTGAAAAGACTAATCATCATGCACAGTGTTACCAATTGCAAAGTCATCAGAGAACATTGAATAGCGTTGATTAGCTTTAGACCAAGGTTGTTTTTAGTAATATACACTATTAATTCATCTCAGGATTTTTTTGAGAAATTTATCAAGAAAATCTACTCATTCCCACTACCAGGTTGCTCACATTGAAGTAAGCGAAAAGGGGTTCAAACCCAGAAATTAGTGGTTGCAAGGGGAAGTCACAACCAGCAGCACCATAGTGATAACAATTCAGATAAAATTTTGCAGGGGAAAAGTGAAAAGAATAAGCTATCTGATAAGATTTCTTCATATTAACTGATCATCCTGACCACCAACCAATTTAGGCAACTGCATTAAAACATTAAAGACTCAGTTCTATGTTTTCAATTACATTTCGTTATTTCAATAGTTAAGAACCAGTAAAGTGAATTAAATCTAGGTACATTCAGATTTAATCGAAACAGATTATTATATATATATATATATATATATATATATATATATATATATATACTCAAGTAGTACTCAAGTAAACATTTCAATGAAGCATTTTAACGTCATCATCAATGAATACTTGTTTTTTTGTACACAACAATTGTACACAATCGGAAAAAAAAATAGAAACAAAAAACAAGCGACTGGATCGAAATTCAATTGTTCATTCATTCATTCATTCATGTAATTTTTGATATTTGAACAAGGAAAACATTTTTTTGTTTTGCTATGCCAACATACCCCTAGATAATGTGTACATGTGCAAATTACACATTTAAAAAAATAGTCTTGAATCAATCATCATAAAAGAGAATAACAGGAAAATAAATATAAAACAGAAAGATAACAGTATATATGCAGAAGAGATAAAATAATAATAATATTATAAATGTAACCTAACCTTTCTTTAATAATTCTTTAGGATGAGGTGTTGGATCAGGATGAAAAAAATCTAAACGTTCAATTATCTCTGGATATTCTTTCTAAAGAGAGAGAGAAAAAAGGGAAACAAAGTAAAAACAAGCATTTATCATAACTTGGAAAAGGTTGTCACTCTATGGAGGCCAGTCAACATCATACGGAATTCTTTTGATGGATTAGACTGACAAAATCGTGCATGTAGGACATCTCAGAGATTCGTTGCAAGTGAAGACTGATGTCAGGCAAGGTTCAATACTTTCATCCTTTCTGCTGGTGATCGACTGTATTATGAAGACGTCAACATCAGGAGGGAAGTAAAGGATACAGTGGACAGCTGGATGATTTAGACCATGAAGATGATTTAACTTTTCTATCGCACACGCAACAACAAATGCAGGAAAAGACGGGCAGTGTTGCAGCAGCCTCTGAAGCGGTAGGTATCAACATACTCAAGAGAAAAATCAAGATCTTTTGATACAATACAATACACATCAACAAAATCACCCTCGATGGAGAAACTTTGGTGGATGCGAAAACATATCTGGGCAGGACCATTGATGAGTAAGGTGAGTCTGATGCAGATGTGAAGTCACGAATTTGCGAAGCAAGGGAAACATTTTTACGACTGAAGAACACATGAAACTCAGAACAACTGTTGATCAACACCGAAATCACAACTTTCAACACAAATGTCAAAACAGTTCTACTTTATGGGGCGGAAACGTGGAGAACTACGAAGAACATCATCCAGAAGATACAAGTTTTTAGTAACAGTTGTCTACGCAAAATAATTCGGCCAGACACCATCAGGAACAGTCTATTGTGGGAAAGAACAAACCAGATTCGAGCGAAAGAAGAAATCAGGAAGGATCACTCGAAGTGGACAGGACACAGATTGAGGAAAGCATCCAACTGCGTCACAGGACAAGGCCTCAGTTGGGATCTTCAAGACCAAGGAATACATTAAGCTGAGAAATGGAAGTAGATATAGAAAGAATGGACAGCAATTGGATAGAACTAGAAAGGAAGACTCAAGATTGAGTCCGTTGTAGAATCCGGGTCGGCGGCCTTTGCTCCACACTAGGGGTATCAGGCGTAAGTAAGTAATTGTCGCTAAAAATTGAAAAGTTCACTACTCAACAGATAGTTTGGAAATAGTGTATGAAACACTATAAACAGTTCCATCAGAATTATTATGTTACAACTTAATTCAGGTACTCAGATAAACATTTATTGATCATTCAAAGAAAAGGACAATGATGACGATATCACGTTTATTTGGTTAACTAGATTTTCAATGTAAGCCATTTTCGTGGTAATTTCACCTTTACTCTATAAAGAAGACAAGTTTCAAAGTATCTAACTCGAAAATATAAAAATAATAACAGCTAAGATTTCCAAGCTTAAGTGGATGCTTTTCATGGTTTCAAATGATTTTTTTTGGTTGTATAGTTTGATTGCAAAGCTTTCATTGTTTGTTTTCGGATATCATCAACGTATATTTGATGTGAATAGGCTTAAGCGAAAGATCGAACACAAAACAGTGCACTGATTCAGTTTGGAAGCATTTTTTAGGCTTTATGCTATCTTACAGATAAAATCGTTCAACTTATAAGCCTGGTTTTAAGGTGATATTTTAAAGTTTAGACGATTGATACCATTCACCATTTAAAAAGGAGTCAAATAAATGTAAAACTTACTTCGACACATGATTTCGGTAAATAACCTGAATGACGCGATTTCAAAGAAGTAGCAAGGACCCAATCTGACTTTGGATCTTCATAGATTAGTAAAAAACGATCATTTACAACACACCTATAAGATATAAATATTAAAACAATCAAAACCATACGTACATGCATATATACATACATCAAAATAGTATTACTACAACTTATATGATAATGGCAATAACTATAGAGGTCGGACTGAGACATGTTAATAAGTCTAGAGTAACCTAGTTGAGGTCAGTGCAATAACAGATTTCAATGGTTGGAGACGTTAAGTGACAAAACTCAGAACTGTTCACAATAGTGCAAGTCAATTCATTAATTGTACCAGTATTTATGACCAATAGGGCAAGGCATAATCACTGTATTTTTAAAAGCAAAATTCTGATATGTTAGAATTTGTTGAAAGCTATATTTACTTCTAGTGGTTAATCAGCCAGTTACAACGTAGAACTTCGTACGTACGTACATAAGTTCATGTTGCTATACCGCATTAGCATAGAGATGTAAATATCAATTCAAATCCCGTACTAGTAGAAATAGTAGAAGTATTAGTGGTAATGCAGAAGATTATGGTTCGAAAATATAATTCAAAAAGGATAATCTAGTGAAAAATTCAGGAGATTAGAATTTCAGAGAACACAAAGAGTGGATGCACCCGCGCCATTGAAACTAAACAACTAATCTTTAAGTAAAGTCAATGTTCGACTAGACTACATGTAAACATATTTGTGTAACTACTAGTGAAGTTTATAATTTTATCCAGATGACAATACTAAACCTTATCCTAAACATATTTTGGATTGTTGAGAAAAATAATGAATAATCACAGGGATTTCATTTTACATTTTAACTCATCACTAACCTACGAGAACTCAGCCAGTCCGTCAGTCAGTCGGTTACAACGTAGAACTTTGTACGTACATACATCAGTTCAAGTCGCTACACCACATTAGCACAGAGACGCAATTGGCGATACAAATCCCATAGTAGTACAGGGAACAGGAGTATTAGCAGTAATCGGAGAGATTAAGGTTTGCCACCAAAAATTCATTAAATACAGTGTGAAAAAATCATGAAATAAATGGTTTACTAGATCTGTCACTTTTCCTACAATACCATTCATACAAATCATAATTGTAATCATTTTATTACAGACAAATGTATTTTACATCATTTCAACTTCATTTATTCTATTTATAATGTCATTATGTGCATATTTTTATTCATTAACTTATTTACTACCTTTTCTCTGTTACAAGTTCTGTTCTTTCCACAAAGGTCAAAAAAAACTAACTGGTCGTTTCAATCAATGACGCCAGTTATTATGCAATATGAAACAGCTTTATTGAAATCTTGTTTGACATGTCAAGTTTTTCTCTTCTCTCCTTTACATTCCTTTACAATATTATCATTATATTTGGCTGGAGTCCTATTCTACCAAAAAAAAAACATTATGTCAATCTAAAACCACACTAGTTTAATCTAAGGATTTAGGCTGCACTGTTATCCTATACAACTCTGCTTGGAGCCTTTCTGAGGTTTCTGCAGGTCCCAGGCCCGGATAAAGGAGGAGAGTTGGACATGGGGTTAGCGACCCAAATCAACTCGCTAAAAAAAACGCTAACGAGAAAAATGCTTTTTGGCAGCCTATGCTCCATTAAGGATAACAGGCCTAAGTAAGTCATCTCATACAGAAACGACTTAATGATGTTTGAAACAGAAGCTAACAGATATTTAGTAAGCTATAAATTCGATTTTTTTTCAAGTCATGGATTTTAATTTTATTCTGTCTATCAGTTATCTAAACTATGTATTTGTAACCCACGAGAAAGCCTGTGCACACAGAGATTTAAACTCAACATACAGCCCTAAAATCAGAGACCGTAGTACCCATATGAGTAAGCAATTTAAAAAGACGCCGTACACCTTATGTTTATTAAACAGTTTGAATGTATAAAGTACTTTGAGAAAGCCATAATATATCAGCCATTATATAGCGTGAATATATGGTGAAGGCAATGGTCAATGTACACAACAGACATATTTGTTTCAGCTAACATTTAACGCTTCAGTCGTCTTTTTGAAAGACAATATTTCATATTTTACGATACCGTATGAAAGTATTAGCTTAGTGGTCGAAACACTTGACTTTAAATCACTAGATAGATTATAAACTTTCTTAACTTTTTAAACTCTTAAGTCTTAATGATATGAGTGGATGAATGAATAAATATCAAACTAAAACTCCCAATATTAAGTACGCATTATTTTGGAAAAAAATGTACGCAGTTTACCTAAGTAAATCGCAACATTTCATTAATTAGTTGGAAAAATATTGACTGAGCTCAATGTGGGTCTCGGTTACGAACAGCGATACAGGAGCTCTTAGCAATATACCAGTTAAAGGTTTTACAGGTTTAGACCTATGGTGACTCTGGAAACATTATATATGTGCTCAGTACTAATGAAAGACATGTGCTAACGTACATTAGTTTAGTACTGATAAGTCACAACAGTGTAGTCATTTAAAAAAGCAAACTATAAAAAATTGGGACAAATCTATAAAAATACCAAGCACATTGTCTAATTTTTGGAAATATTCTTCATTGGAAAACCCTACTTACTTACCCGAGCCGGTCATATCCATTTTCTGGTTCGAAATCCTGTACAGCACGCAGACGTTGAGTGTGATATTCAATTGGGAGCTGAAGTTAGACGTTTAAAGACAGACTTGGAAGATTTACAATGAAAATATGAGTCAAACTAGAAATTCAAGATTGAAAATATATAAATCCAAAAACAGATAATAAAATAATAAATATAGCTGTATGTTTATCAGTTAAACTGCTTCTGTGAGGCTATTTATGAGGGGTTGTACAATTCAGCAAGTCTAACACGATACTACTATCCGGCCTAATTGAAAAAATAGTACTCAAGAGTGATTAGGAGCTTTAATGTCGCCTACGTGATTGACACAGAACATCAAACCAACTTGAATAAAACTTATTCAATGCATTCTATTAAATTTCCAACATGCCTTACGGATTATTCGTTTGTAAAACGATGAAGTTATCAAAACTGAGACATAGAGATCCAACTTATGTGTACCCAAAAGAAGTCTGTACAATCTATCTTCCTACCGGGGTTAACGATATAGGTCAAACAAGAGTAGGTCATAACATAGTTGTAGTTCAATTATTATCGCAACATTTGCAGGTTTTCTTTTACTCTGTTACTCTAAAACAATTTTAATATACATATTTATCCTTAGGGAACTGTTATCAAGCTGACTTTTCAACAAAATCCTTTGTTTATTCTCGTATTATAAATATTAAAATTTATGGTGGTTGGATGGTTTGATTGTAAAACTTTTATTGTTATTCTGAACATCATCAGCACAATCTTCAGGTGGAATTGGAGTGTTTGCATTTCTCCATATTTAAATTACAGCTTGTCCTGTAGGCCTCAATCATGACTAGGTGATGTTGACCTCTAACTTGTCGTTATTTCCATCTACATTTTGATTATGCTCCCCTCTGTTTTAATTCTTTCTCTTATATCTGTCCATGATTTAGCATACATTTCACTTCTACCTAAGTTTGTACTGATGTTTTTCATAAGAAAAATGAAAGCTCCATGACCAAAGCATACAGCTTGGAGAATGCAACTCCTTTATAATCACACATCTAAGCTGCAAACTTTCGCCACCATCTGAAAACTATGAAATTTGCTAACATTTTCAAGTTTTAAATAAGTGCTTGAATCATTATTATCATTATTCCTGCTTCAATTATTCAGTTAATCATTCGACATTATCTTATTAATTACTCGTGAAAATATATCATTAATATGCAAGCTGATTGCACCATGCGACACAAGACTTCAGCAGTCGGTATTACAATTTGAATAACATGGCTTAAAACTGTTTGCGATGGCGCAGGTGCATTCATTCTTTGTGTTCTGTCAAATCCTAACCTTCTGAATTCCTAGTCACTTTATCTTCTTCTTTTTAAGTTTATTTCACTAGATTCTACTTCTTGAATAATATCTTCATACCATGATCTCTCTGATTACCTCTACTATTGCGAGATTTGAATTAACATTACATCTCTGTGCTAATATGGTATGGCAACTTGAACTGATGTAGGTACATACGAAGTTCCTCGTTGTTGCTGACTGACTGAGTGATTACGGTTTGTAGATAGTTACTTAACTTGCTTAACTTGGATCCTAAAGCCAACATATTTCACCTATCCTACAAATTACTTAAGCAGCTTTCACCCACAAATATCCAGCCACAATACAAATAATCTGTTATCGATTTACCAAGTTGTTACAGTTAGTGAGTATGAAACATGATAAAATCCAGATATCTCTACTGTTACCGTCGCTATCGTAATGCACAAGTCCTGATGACATTCTTTTAACAAAGCACAACAAACGGTATAAAGTAGGACCAATTTGAACAGAGACTCACGCTTGTAGGTGGGATGGGATGCTTAAGTCGCTCTCCTGTCATGATGTCACGAGTGTAATACCTTGACAAGCATCCATCTAGGCTATCGAAGAATCTTCCACCAAGTTGAAAACAATTGAAACGAGGAATAAGTCTAAATAAAACTTAACTTGTCAGTAGCTTAAGCTCACCTGAAATGAAAACAAGCAAATTCTGAAGAAAGGTAAGAAAGAACGTAGATGTCTTCCCACGCATCGTTGCCATGTGCTGCACGGCTAAGACGAAGGAGATAACTGTTTGATATTCCAAAACTCTGTAAACGCTTTTCTGCCTCAGCTCGGTCAATGTATCCGTGATAATATCTAAAAGAAACCTCTAAAATGTGATCAACAAATCTAAGTGTGGATATAGTGAGATAAAAACAAACGAATTCACCTGAGCTACACATTTTCTCCATCATCTTAAAAACAAGCTTATTTGGCGAATTGTCGATATCCTTTGAACCTCATATATAGTTAACAGGTACGATAACTTTTCCCGAGCACCTCCTTACAAAACTATTAGGATGATGTTAATAAGGCTGTACATTAGACTTTATGGTGCGCTAAGAAAATAGTGGTTCACTGTTAACGTATATTTAAGTCCTTTTGGATAAAGGCTAAATTATACGCTTTGACAGATACTAGAGAGCCATCATAGTATTTTAATCCCCACCCATTGAATTTACTAGTTTCAGTTGACTAAACTTGCTAACAGTAGGTTCAGTTCAACGTGTCTTGTACAAAATCAGATACGATTCATACCAAGGTTATGGGAGGTCCTAATAAGAAACTATTAGAATCTTGTGAAGTGAGTTACTGACAAAATCACTCATCTTTGAATGTTCATTGTAGCTATCTAGTCATCTCTTACGTTAAATTGATGTCCCAACTCTACTGAAACAACACTGAATTGAATTTTTATGCATACATCATCGTAAAAATATGAAAGTGTGCCTATTGAGGTAATATTAAAAATGAGTTAATGGTCACTTTTTGGTATAGCTACTATGGTCCAAAATTGTAGTCTCTATTCATAAAAGCAATACACTAATCCATAAACAATATTATTTTTTAAGCTAACCAATCGGTTTGCGCACTTATTTGTCATTTAGCTTCGATACTGTAACACTACTTCATAGCCATTGGCAATGAAGTTTTGATAAAGCCACAACTAAATAACCTGAGATGCTGTGCCCTTCTAAAACTCCAACACGAAACCTAAGACCTAAAAGTCCAAACTGTATATCTACTTCGACTAATACAGACGGTGCTAGTTATTTGGGAGTGTGGAAGGGTGGATAAACTTTTGCCGTATGGTTGGCAGAGAATTAGGTTTTGTAGAAAAACAAATGCTCCCCTATCTAATCGCCCAAGCTGACCAATTCTAATACTGTAGTGACATTTAATTTCGCATCATAAACTAGGGTAATAGTGTCTCAGATAATATACAGCTTCAAAATTCGTGTGCAAATAATATATCAAAGTCCTGTTGATTTCGAGGCATAAAGTAACCATAAAAATAAAAAATTCATAATCTCACTGTTCCAGAGATGGTAGGCTTTGAATGACACAAGAATCCCCAGCTGTTGATTCCGGCATAACGGATGTGTCGCACAGAGGTTGACCTTAAAAACGTATTTCCCACTCTCGACCTCAAGGTAATTTCTCACGGACATAAAAGCTTGGTCAACCGTATTGCGTTTTAGCATTAACTGCAAACGACGAATTTTTATGAAATTTCGAGCACTTTTCAAAGGTTTTGATGAGTTTCGAAGATCACTTTCAAACCAATCAGGTGTAGTCGCTTATTAATTTATTCCGTCTAAAAGGTTTTACCTGAAGAGAGGTTGAGCTATAGCACCAAATAAATCTCCTAAATAAATAGTTCCTCAAGTCTTCGACAGTAATGCTAACCTTTTTGGTTTAACTGTACACATCATATCTGAAGGTGCTTGGTTACACATTCACATGAGTTCACTATTGGTAATGGCATACTTCACATCCATCACTACAGCTGGACAGGTTAGTTCATGTTCTTCACGTAACATTAACCATACTGAAAATATTTCTCCGAAATCCCCTATTCATATCTCCAAATCCATTGGTCTACGGATCGCGCATCCAATAAATACCATGGAGAAAGGCATCTTCAAGTCCAGAATATCTACAACATCTTTATTCCCAAACTATAGGAGTGTTATTCACTGAGAACACTGGTACACAATATTTCTCAGCAGATAGGAAAAGCGCTAGGACAAGACCATAAGTGAGTCCATGAGTTAATGAGCGTACATCTGCCAGCTTTCAACAGTGATATCAATTTATCATGGCAATATGACCAATCAAATTCACTACAACGCTGTCTGTTAATGAATCGCAGAAGATTATATCAATGTTCCAAACATAGAAAACCTAAACTAATATCCGTAACTCTAGCAAGTGAAATATTACGTTGCAATTGAACGTTTGACCTGATCTCCTACTTTTATAAAGTATAACATCTACTTAGAATTAGGTGAATGAAGATCCAAGTTCAGCACAGATAAATGATCATGCAGCTAGTTTCAGTCCCAAAATCCAGTACAGTCTCAAAATCCAGTTAAACAATGATTATTGTCTCCGGCATATGTAGTTCCAACCCACGTCATAAAATGTCTCCAGACGTTCATTACGGCTGACTACAATAGGTTAATTTCATAAATGTCTCACCCGTCTCTGCTGATACGTTTTTACATTCTTAATAAACAATATAAACAGAATTTCTCATGACAGATTCGTCTTTTGGTTAAAAAACTTGAGTATTGCCCGAGTCACAGTTGAAACAATTAAACAGATATCATCTTTGTTTAATGAATCCAACCAACTAATGACAAAGTGACTTCTTAAATATTTGAAATTATGAACGCAATCAACTACTTTGTTCCCTATCCCTAAATCTGTCTCTGACATACAAAAGCCATAAAACATCTCGTAAAACTTAGTTCAACCAATGGGCTTAGGAGACAGAAACTTCACAAGGTCCATGGAATTTCTGATTTTCAATTTACCCGAAGCACTTCCGTACAAGCCATTTGGTAGACGAGGTCATGAGGTGCTAAGGTAAGCGGCTGTCACTAGGTATTATGATGTTTCATAACCTGGAGAATATTAAAGATTTGGCCAATACATCTCAGTTCACTAATCAAACTAGATTTTCTTTTCATAAGCGGTAGTTAACTGCCGTATACTTATATGGGAAATGAATTCATTTACTACATTAATCAAACAGCTTCCCCGAGCTTTTTGGGTATTTAGAACATTATTTCATTTTACATAGAATTACGTTTATATCTGACTGACTCCTACTCGTGGGTGCATGTTTCCTGCGTTCATTTAGGTATAGGTAAATATGTGTTGATGTGATACTATTAGGTGCAAATCATCTTAAAGCCTTTCTTATGATGGCTTACACTCCTATGGTATGTCCGTATTCATCGATCAGTCAGATGGTGTCGCATCTAAGGCGTGAAGTCAAAACAATGACTGATGACCACACAATCAGCTGGTTTTAGTTTTCTGTTAATTGAGTTGTGAAAACATGAGATTCACTTTCGTGCTGTTATGGTAGACCACTTACTTGGATACTAAAGTCATCTGTCACTGTCACTACTTTTGAATGAGGCTGAGAAGCGACTCCCCTCAAAATGTATTTATAGAGGAAGAAGGCAGAAACAAACAGCAATAAAGTGTATTAGTAGAAAATTGTCCACATCATTACCTTGATTTCGATCAAACAACGCAAATTCTAATTAGTCACCAATAACATGTTTTATAGAAAAGTGGCTACGAAACCATGGTCACGCAATTCCTAAAAAAATATCCTACACAAAACAGAGAAAATTTTAACGATTAGCAGAACTGTAAAGTGAAACATTTTGAAATTTTCAGAACATGGATTACTACACTTAGTTGCACGAATAGTAAATCGCACCATTCCGTTACTGATTTTAGTTTATGTTAAGAAATTGATCTCGCTTGAGCACTGTATGAAAATATCACTGCTAAAATCAGGAATAAAATAACTGATATGATTAAGGGAGCAGGTGCTATCCCACCGGACGTTGTGACACTGAAAATCAGCAACTTTCAAAATCACTCTTAACGGCAACATCATTCCTTAACAATAACTCACTTTTCGGCTCAGTGCTGCGTTACATTTAATTATTTTTACCCTCCTAAGTGGCATTAAATTTTTCTAGTTGAATATAAATCTCTTTAGTTTTAACTTGAAATAGACAGGTTGCTCACTGGGTCGATCGACACTGTTCAACTGTAAACTGGATGATAAGAACTCACTCCACTATCTTGAGCACAACTTTATCAACATTCATAACTGTGTAATTTTCGAACTGCCTATTATCAGTTTTATTGTTCTCACTTACACTCAACTTACTTACCATTGATCCCTTAGCGTTATCTATTGCCCCACTCTTAACCATAATACTCTTTAAATTTCCTGCTTACTGATCATACTGATTCCACGGTGGATTCCGGTCCTAACAAACGGTTAGAACCGAAAAGAAACATTCAACGATTCGGGATGCAAACTTAAATCCCGAGCTGTAATAGATTTCTCATGAAAATAGTAATCTAATAATACAGTCAGGTCGCAGTGATTTAAGGCTGTCAGGATATTCATCCAATATCCGAATAGAATTATAGGTCAATTCCTAGTGGTCAATTTTATGATCGCCCTAGATATCAATGTCACCATTGTTGTTTCTTATTGGCGGTCTTAACTGCCAATGTCACAGACTTTGAAACTGTTTCAAATTCGACCTGAATGTATAAATACGCATTATATGTAACATTCTATGACCAGGACCTGGTCCCGGATCCCTAGTCCGGGAACCTGATTCTGTTCTGGACTCGGGCCTCGTACTTTCTGGATGCTTGTAGAACACATGTCTTACTTCATACCAAGTCTTCTTATTTTTACTCAATATGGATTCAAGTATATCAAAATGACGTGTTTACGTGCTTACATAGCAAAGGCTTTGCTGTAAATATCGATGTTCAAGCCTACAGGGCTTGTCCTGGCAACCAAACAGGCAAATAGACCGGTTTCGGAATCACCATTCACTCGTATTTTGGTGCGAATAATCGTCCACTTATAACTTTTGCTGTTTTTATCTTAGTGCTAGTTTGTATTGCTAGCTTCGCTTATCATATGCCTGAGAGCCTTCACAAAAGTAACTTAACTATTATACTGCTTGAACTCAAAGGCTGGCAGTTAAACACGATATGTTGCATGTTAT